CAATACTTTGGTCATTACTAATGTAGTATCTTTGCTTAAAAGAATAAAATAATAAAAATCAAGAGTATGGAAAATTAGACTGATAAATTTTTTATGGAAGTTTGTGGTAATCTTTATCAATCCCAAATAATTTGACCAAGAAAAAAAATGTGACCTAGAAGTAACCATACAAAATTGTTAGTCTATACCTGTATTTTTGTGCAGTGCTATTCAGTTGCTGCTCATTCTCTGGAAAAATATATTAATTTTTTCCCTTAGTTTTTTTCTTTGTCTCTTTTGGATAGACTGATTTTACCTCCTTCACTCTATCCCCCACAGTAATTATTTCTTTGTAAGCTATTTGCCAGTTTTATAGATTCTTTTTATTAAGCCTTTTAAAATGATACCGTGTAATATTCTAGCTTAAAAGTATATAATAATTTGAATTGTAATGTTTTCAGATAGTTGTTTTTTCTTTCTACTTCCATGGGGCGATAGGTTACCTTTTGTTAATTTAAGAATACAATTCAAGATCTTCAGTTCTTACAATGAAACATCATCCTTGTAGTATGGATTGACACATAAAAGCAGTATTTTATGTAAAACACCAAAATTTATTTGATTTCTGAAATGTAGACTTTATCTGATTGCAACAACTAATATAGAGATGATGTTTAAGGGATGTGATGGTAGGCTGATTTATCAGAACCTAAATTGGTCATTTTGCATAATTACCCTCAGAATTTGTAGAAACCCAACATAATTTAATATATTAATCACAAATAATGGCCTCCTGCAGATCTTTGCATTGTTTTAAAAACTAATTGAGAACCCTTTCCATTGTGTTGCTCCCTAATCTCTTACATAGAGATCATGTTGATCCAGTTCCATAAGAGCACGTGGCCAGGAAAAATATTTCTCCTGATTACTTGCTTTACCTTCTGTCTTCTATAGTGAATTTTTTTTTTTTTTTTTTGACAGGCAGAGTTAGACAGTGAGAGAGACAGAGAGAAAGGTCTTCCTTCCCTTGATTCACCCCCTAAATGGCCACTATGGCTGACGTACTGCACCGATCCAAAGCCAGGAGCTAGGTGCCTCCTCCTTGTCTCCCATGCGAGTGCAGGGCCCAAGCACCTGGGCCATCCTCCACTGCTTTCCTGGGCCACAGCAGAGAGCTGTACTGGAAGAAGAACAACTGGGAACAGAATCCAGTGCCCCAACCGGGACTAGAACCCGGGGTGCCGGCACCGCAGGTGGAGGATTGGCCAAGTGAGCCACGGTGCCGGCCTATAGTGAAATTTTTTACCAGTGTTTTGCCATCTTTGTTTTAGCTCTTAGACCTTTGAGAGGTTGTCCTCAGTTATGACAGCTTTTGTAAATGTGAAGGTATTTATTACATGTAATTCTATTGTAAACCTCTATAAAACTTTTTGGAAGTTCTGGAATAGGTTAGTATGTAATATGATTATAACTAAATGAAGCTAATTGTATAAGAAAATTTTTTTTTGCAATATAACTTTAAAATAAGTAACATACAGTATTGCTTTTATTTGATTTATGTGTTAGGTTTTAATGCTAAAAGTTTGTCTTGTTACGAAATACATTACTGTAGTTTTCTGAATCTCTTCTTTTTGTAGTTTCAATAAGAATCCCTAATTAAACTGTTTTCATCATTCCTTTTAAAAAACTTACCAAGACTGTCTTTAAAAAACTAGCTGAGTTTTTCTCCTGAAGATTATGCAAACAGTTCATAGAGCTCTTCACAGGTTATTAATGTTGCTTTCTAATGGCCTGGTTAAACAGAATGGTGATATTCACATCACTAATCCTAGTGGTTTAAATGTCTGCTTCCTCTTGCAACGTAGCAGTTTTTGCCACAGACTAATGGGAGAAAGGGGCAGCTCATCTCTTAGAAACCATGTGCTGGAAGAAGACATTTTTGGCTGGGAATCAAAGGCCAAGAGAATGAACTGTTGGCTGTGGTCAGTGACTGGAAAGGGAAACAAGGTGCCTGCAGCAGCTGAGGTTGCTGTTCTTTACCTTACAGCTGTGGGCCCTTGTCTCCCCTCTTTTGCTGCTGGAACTTAGCCCTGAAAGAAGCAGCATCTTTCCCTGACTTCCTCTGCCCATAAATGAGGAGTTGGAAATGGGGAGCAAGGGAAGGGGAAGGGAAAGCGTTTGCTGGTGGCCTGCTGGTAGAGGGGTCATGTCTGAGGGTCACTTTGCTCACTATTGCGCTTCAACAAGTTTTCCTGGTGTTCTCTTATCATAAATTTTTACCCTCTAAATACACGTAAACATTTTTAAGTGATAGCATTCCCTTTTAAAATGTCAGCTTTATATAAAACAGTTTCTATGGTCACCCCAACTATGGAGATTACATCAATTATTTGAAATAGATGGGTTTCATATTTCTTTCTTAGCCTGTGTTTTACATGTCTTATATTTGAATTTTTAAAGTGTAGCTTTTATGGCTCAATTTCCTTTTTTTTTTTTAAATCATTGTCCACTCTTTCACTCTATTTATTTATTTATGTATTTAAGATTTATTTTATTTATTTGAAAGACAGTTAACAGAGTGAGGTAGAGACAGAGAGAGAGGTCTTCCATCTGCTGGTTCACTCCCCAGATGGCCACAACAGCCGGAGCTATGCCGGTCCGAAGCCAGGATCCAGGAGCTTCCTCTGGGTCTCCCACATGGGTGCAGGGGCCCAAGGACCTGCAATCCCAGGCCATAGCAGAGAGCTAGATCAGAAGTGGAGCTGCCAGGACTAGAACCGGCACCTATATGGGATGCCGGCACTTCGGGCGATGGCTTTAACCTGCTGCGCCATGGCACCAGCCCCAGTGATTCAGTTTTCAAAATTATACTGAGCCGGTGCCACGGCTCACTAGGCTAATCCTCCGCCTTGCGGCGCCGGCACACCGGGTTCTAGTCCCGGTCAGGGCGCCGGATTCTGTCCCGGTTGCCCCTCTTCCAGACCAGCTCTATGCTGTGGCCCGGGAGTGCAGTGGAGGATGGCCCAAGTGCTTGGGCCCTGCACCCCATGGGAGACCAGGAGAAGTACCTGGCTCCTGCCATCGGATCAGCGCAGTGCGCCAGCTGCGGCAGCCATTGGAGGGTGAACCAACGGCAAAAGGAAGACCTTTCTCTCTGTCTCTTTCTCTTACTGTCCACTCTGCCTGTAAAAAAAAAAAAAAAAATTATACTGTAGCAAGTAGAATTTATCATTGACTTGTAACTCCCTTTTTTTGCTGGGGTAAAGATATTTTATTTTTGCAAGGCAAATTAATTTTGCTAAGGCTGCTTTCTGCTTAAGTCAACGTTGATTTACTTTCCTGTCTTTTCCCTATTTCTAAACTCCCAAACTGCCCAAATGCTTATAATTTTTTATGACCTTTAAACATTCAAAAAGAAATATACTGTTACTCTGTGGACTGTATGGAATGCTAAAGGCACTGTTTATACTAACAGAGGTAGTTTATGTAATGTATGATTGAAAGTATACCTTGAAACTTTATGAAAGTTGTCTCGATAGAGCTAATAGCTTTTTAGTGAAGAGAATTAAGGGGAAGAAAATCTTATTTTTGAGAAATAGTCATCAGAGAAATTTAGCAATTTTGCTACATTCAAGTAAGAGCTTTTTTATTTTAAATTTTGATAATTAGTTCTGACAGGATTCCAAATTAAAGTTAGATTCTTATTTGTTATTTAGCTACTCTGGATCCATTCTGTTTTGTCTTTAGAGTTCTTTGAGACTTTCTGAAACCCAGTCATAGAGAAATAATCTTAAGCATCTAGTTTTGGGTTTTAAAAAATATTTATTGAATTTTTTCTTAACTATTCAGATTATTAAAGATAAAATTAAGAATTCTTGTGCCTTCATAACCTTGCAAAACCCTTGTTTTTCTGTTCTTGTAAGATATTTTCTTTTATAAATATTTGACTTACATTTAAATATACTATTAAGACAGTAATAATGTAAAACTTACTCCTCCAGCTTTCCTCGCCCTGTGAAGACTACTTGGTTAAATAGAACTGCACCAGCACAAAACAAAGATTCTGTGATTCCTACTCTTGAAAGTGTGGTCTTTGGTATTAACTACACAAAACAGTTATCACCTGATGTAAGAGTTGAATATGTTTATAAATTACTTTTCTTTCTTATTTTGAAAGGAATATTTATAGTTATTTTATCTGTGGATGTAATTTCTTTCATTGTTTGAGCTCAGCAACTAATTACATATGATTTTTATAAATTGGTTTGTTCCAATTGACTATTATGAGAACTAACCTGATACTTCAACATTTTACAACATTTTGTACAAGAGATCTTTGACAGCTAGTTTCTTTTATTGACTTGTGCTGTCATCCCTTGCTTCCTTACAGACCTGGTAGAATTATTCCTAAAGAGCCTTTAAAGAACAATTGTTAGAATTGAAACCCAGCTTAGAGTAGCGCATGTATAGTTATTACTATCAAAGGAAAGGAGCAATATGCTATAAAAGCAGAGTGCTTGCCCTTTAGTCCAAATATAATATGAATCTCATGTGATTTTAAAAAAATCTTAATTTAGTCTGCTTTTTATTAAAAATTACTATAACTGAATTTATAGTGTTATTTGTTAAATTGTATGAATAATTCTAAAGTATTGCTGAATGTCATATATGTTTTAGAATAACTGTAACTGACAGATACTTTGGCATATGTTTTTTATTTTCCCAAGTTTCACGTGTAGTATTTTTAAATGTTTAGTTACTAACACTCTGTATCCTGAATCTGTTCTTTGTTTAGGGTTGCAGCTTCATCATTGCAGATTCCTTCCTGCATCATGCCTATCGGTTTCATTATACACTTTGTGCCACTTTGCTGCTGGCCTTCAAGGGATTGCACAGCTACTTCATTACGGTAACAGAAGAGATTCCCTCTTGTCAGAAACTAGAACTGGGTATGTTAAAAGTAGCCAGACCTATCATACATTTCAAGCCATTCCCTTCATTCTTAGATTGCTAGTCATCAGCTTCACCATAATTTTTCTATACTAAAACTATAATGTTCACATGATTCACTTTTGCTTCTTTATTTCTTCTTTTTCAAACTTTAATAATCACTTTATCCAATTTTTAAAATTTTTTCATTCTACTGAGAATTAACATGTTGGTGCTAAGTTTGAACTGAGTCTTTTGATAAATTTTTTAAAGAGAACATCTTAATATACTACTCCTCTTGATACTTAAGCAAGAAATATACTAGAAAACAAATGTAATTGCCTACAGAATCATAGGAAGGTAAATTAAATCGATACTTTCAGATATTTTACAATCTAAACAGAGTATAAATACTTGGGCCATTTTTATATACATTTGATTTTAAGATCTCTCAAATCTCTATTCCTTTTATTTTACTTTAGGGGATAATGACATTACTCAGTGGTTTAACATTTTGAGAAATTTTTAAATCATTAAAAAAACAAGCTTCAGTTTTAATCCAAATGTAGTATCTGCATATATGCTGCAGTTCATAATGAAAATCATATTTCCTTTTTTATACCATTTGTATTTTGAAAAATGTTTTTACATATATCATTTCATAGAAGATAAATTGTTATGATTTTGTAAAACATGTTTTTATTCAGACTTTTTATGTTAGTTTGGAAGCTTTTATTTTCATGTATCAACTTATCACTAAAATACACATTTTACTGATCTCTTCAGACTACATTTTTTATTATATATTTGAATAGATCAGGAATCACTTTTCAAGTTTCACTTAATCAAAATTCTTTGTTTATAACTTTGTTCCTTATGATCTTTTAATAATATTCATGTACTTTGTAAAATAATCACTGTCAGTGAAAATAGTTATTGGGTTTGAGATTAATTAGGCAATTTTTATAGTTGTTTTAGGTGTTTATAGGTGTTTATAGTTGTTTTAGGTGTTTTAGTTGTTTTAGGTGACAAAAGAACTGCCAGAAAGTATGAGAATTTTGTACCCTATTTCATTTCCACCTGAAAAAATGGTGGATTCTGTGGCACAGCCTCTGAGGGACTACATGGGTTTGGTTAATCCAGTTATTCAGTCAGTTCAGGTCACAGTGCTGTGACTTGACCAGACTGATGTCACTAATTTGACTGTTTGGAATGCTGGAGTCAGTAATCCAAAAGTTTACGCTGATAGGCAAGAAGTAGGAAAATGAGTTAATTCATTTTTGACCATGCATTCTTCTTCAAAATAAAAATGGTAGTGGGGAAAGGATCACCTTTTGATCTCTATTCTCTAAAACTTTCTCTTTTTTCCTTACCACTTCAGATAAATTCTGGAGGAGCCTACTGTCTCCAATGTAAATTTTCTTTAAATGTTCTCTTTTGAAAACAAAAGAATCATTTGTGAAGTAGAGCTAATTTAGGTTTTCCCTTATCCTCAGTAAACAAAAAAAATTATGTACCAATATTTTTTAATTTACTGATTTGTAATTCCAAGACATTTTCATTGGAGAATTGCATTATAAATTTTAGTTAGATTTATTAAACTAGAATATTAATGAAGGATAAAATCATGTACCTGAAAAGTAATAATGTAAAACCTAAAAAGCCATTTTTAATGATGTTTCTACAAGAAAATGTGTTAATGGTTTCAGTGTGGAATACTGCAGTAGAATTCAGGAATCATTATCTTGTGCTTAAAAGTGCAAGTTTGGAGACAGTGATGTCACTTACTCATTTTGGTTTTATAAATAAGAAGTAGTTTCCCTTTGCAAGGTAAGGAGATTGAAAAGAATTGAGTGGTACAGGAGTAAGAAAAGGTAAGGATACCCAAAGGCAAGGGAAGTCAAGGAATTACAGGAATAACACTTCTGAACAGTATAATTCCCTTGAGTTTTTTATGAGCACCTACTGTGTAAGGCATTGTTCTAGGTGCCCAGGAACAATGGGCACTATTTTTAAGTCACTATTATTAAGAATTTTATCTTCATGTCCTCTCACAGCAAAAGTAGTAAGAAATCAGCCCAACACGGGAGTGGGCAGGAGAAACTCATAGGAAGACAAGGCTTATTATGGTTTTAGTATATGACAATGGTTATGTAAGAAAGATGTATGCATATAATTTTCAGGTAGACTTAATATGTAATATTTACAAATGAATAAACACATGAACCACAACCTAACCTAGAAAAAGTGTTTCTCTGAAAGGAAACATATTTATTAGTAATATTTATAACTAGTGATTTAAAAGTTTCTCTTTGCAAAGGCAAATATTTATTTTTACAGCCTAATGTTAGCATATTATTACCAATTTGTTTACCTAATTTTAGTATGGTAATTCATTTATTAATAAGATTTTCAATTTTTTCTCAGGTACAGCTGGCTTTTGTGTCCTCTATATTACTTGGGGCTTACAGATCTAATACAGGAGTCAGGAGTCAGTTACTAAATGAAGTGAACTTTATTCCAAATCACTTATTTAAAATATTTGATCAGGAAGTAGAATTCTAAAGCAAACTTAAACTTTAGTTTTACCGGTGCCGCGGCTCACTAGGCTAATCCTCCGCCTGCGGTACTGGCACCCCGGGTTCTAGTCCCGTTCAGGGCACCGGTTCTGTCCTGGTTGCTCCTCTTCCAGTCCAGCTCTCTGCTGTGGCCCGGGAGTGCCGTGGAGGATGGCCCAAGTGCTTGGGCCCTGCACCCACATGGGAGACCAGGATAAGCACCTGGCTCCTGGCGTCGGATCAGTGCAGTGCGCCCGCCGCAGAGGCCATTGTGGGGGTGAACGAGCGGTAAAGGAAGACCTTTCTCTCTGTCTCTCTCACTGTCCACTCTGCCTGTGAAAAAAAACTTTAGTTTTAGTTTAGTAAATAATGGAATAAGATTTGTTGTATGAATGAATGGATGAATGGAATAGCACAGTAGTGTTCTCATTACTTGGTAAAGTATAGGCATCAACACATAGCTTATACAGCTTCCTAGAGATTTCTAAAAGCAATATTCATCTTCAGCAATATTTATTAGTGATACTTTGCATTGTTCTTAGACTTTACTTTGCCATTATGTTTTCCTGTCTCTTTCTTAGGAATTTTACTTTATTCCTAAATGCATCCTCTAGGAGAACATCTAAAAATGCTATTAACAATTCAAAATAAAAGCATTTGTTGCATATTGTGAACTATCTACATGGCTTATTTTTATCCTAGCAAAATAAAATTGTGGACACTAATATATTTCCATAATACACTATTTAATAAGCACTTCTATATCCCACAATTTTAATAAGTGAATATAAAATAGTTCTTGATTAGAGAATGTATTTTTCCTTCTGTTGTTCAACACTTTCCCTGGGTTTTCAAGCATATATTTAGAATTCTTAAACTTTACCATGCTTAAAAATTTTATCTAAACTTTGTTCCCTCTTTTAAAATAATACTACTTTAAATTCCTTTCTTCTTTACCTTTATGTTTGCCCTAAATAAATGATGTACATTTTTTTGATGACATGTAATGGAGTAGCAGTTTTGTTGTAAGGAACTTAGAAAAAATGAGAATCAGGTGTTCTGGAATCTAGGGTTTTTTTTTTTTTTTTGGCAAGTCAAATAACCATCTGAGCCACTTGTTAAAGCAAGGAGTTGTCCTAGCTGATCTTGAGATCCCTGCCAACACTAAAATTCTGAGTCTAAGAGATTAAAACATAAAAAAAAAATTGAATGATGAAAATATTGAGTAGCACATTCATTTAAATAGAAAAACAAGTAATATAACCTTGAATGTACATCATTTGTAATTCTGATATGCTAATTAACTAACACTGCATTGTCAGATCAATACTAAGTCTATTATTAACAGGTTGGAAAATTCTAGTAAATTTTGTTATAAAAGGAGTATGGTAACTAGTACTGTGTGCAATCCTTATAACTAGCCAAGACCAACATGCAGGTCCTATATGAACGCCTTCTCAGAAGAAAACAGCCTCGAACCCAGAAAGACACCTGTGTAGGTACGTTTACAATTAGGTTAAGTAAATAATCCCGTTTAATTAGTTTGTGAGTTCTCTTTAAATTAGTATCAAATTTCATCAATATTTATATATTGGTACAGTGTGTTCCCACCACTTTTATTTGAGAACTTACCTCTAGATTCAATTTGGTTTGTAAATAAGTTTTGATTATTTTAATTAATTTGTAATATTGAATTTTTTATCTAAAACTGGAAATGCTAAATGTAAAAATCTCTTACAGTTTCTACTCAGCTCTTTCAAATTTGCAAGAACTTGATAGTTTATACTGTCTAAAATTTGTTCAAAGTAATCTTATCTTTGGATAGACTTAATAATAATGAAATGTGATTTAAGAAGTAAAGCTAGTTTTAAGGTTTTCAGAAATAAAGATTTGGTTTAAATGTTTTAATCATTTTGCAGTGATGTTTTCATTCTAAATTAAAAAAAAGCTAAAATAACACTGGCTCACAACTATCCAGATATGTTACATATGTTACAGGAATTATTCTTGTTATTTATATATTTATATATTTTAGAATTTTCTTAAATAGTGCTAGTACATAATTTAGTCTTTACAGGAATGTGAAAGCTTTTATTTTGTGTTTAGTATACTCTCAGTTGCATTTTTTTAAATGATGAGAGCTATAGAAATTTGAAAAATGAAATAGAATCAATATATACATTTCTCGGTTTTCAGAAATACAAACAAGGAAATTAAGAAGCCAGATTCCTCAGTATTTCTCAGATAAAAACTAAATATTTAAATTGTGTAGTTTTCAGTAAAACTAATAAGAGAAACCAATTTTTTTTTGGAATGGAAAAAAGAAAAGTTAAAATTTATTATAATCCTTTTTGGAATATAGCTTTATACTCTCATATAAAATTACTGTAAAATCATAGAATTCATATTATGAAATTGTGGCTATTTATAACATGTTTTATTGTTCTTTTTAGTGATTAAACATACTACTAGTTTAAACTGTTGTATTGCCTTCCTGTTGATTTGTGTGTGAGCATTCTAAATAGTAGAACAGAATGCCACTTAATATCATTATTAAGATATGTGTACAGAAAGAACCAGATTTAGTTGAGTGGAAAAGGACTTGACTAAAACACACAATAAAGTTACTTTACAAACACTTCTATTGAGATGTCTTTTATCCTTAAAACGTAGCACTGTGTTTATGAGTACCTGCTGAGAGATTGAATAGATGAATGGATGGAAAGAGTTAGAAAATAAGTATAAGGTTCTTTGTCTTAGCAGCCCCATTTCTTGTAAGCCTATATCAGAGAAATGATGTACTAGTATATAAAGATAGATGTATAAGCATTTTGTAGTATTGTTGATAGTGGCAAAACACTACAAATATAAATAAGAAAATTCTCATTACTTGGGTAAAGGTTGGAATAAAGAAATTCTGATGCACCTACATCAAGAAATATTATGTAGCTATCTTATTCTTACAAAATCTGACTCCAAAACTAATTTTGTTTGTGTGTGTATTTGAAAAATATTGAAGGATATGTTTTAGATTGTAACTTTGGATTATCAGAAGGAGCCAACCTCCACCTCCCCAAAAGGACTTCTATAAGATAATTGTCACATTTATACATTTGTGTACAACTAGATTTTAAACTCATTTAAAAATTCTAAGTCGTTTGAGATCATTTCAATTCTAAAATTTAGAAATTAGGTTTTGCCTTTAAATATTCTTTAAAATACTGTTTGCATTGAAATAACTCTGAAGTAACACTGGCCACATCAAATGTACCACTTTATGCATTCAGGATCTAGTGTGTAAATATTAGAAAAATATATTGAGTTTATTTTTGATTTTTTAAATTCAGAAGTTGAAATATAACCTATTAAACCCAATTTTACTGAATCTCTTCTACCATATGAAAGATCATGAATAATATGAAAATGGATATTAGTGTATAGAAGTTGTGAATTTAATGTAGGGTCAAATGCTAATCCGTATAGTTTTGGAAAAGCCGATATTAGAAGTCACTGATTTTTCTGACAATGAAATGATTTACTATGCTGTTACAGTTCTTTACAAGAATGCATTTAAATTTGAATTCTAGTTAAAAATTAAGTATATCTAAAGGTGATGTTTCAGATCTTAGTGTGAGTCCTTCCCTGCATAAAAATAACTAATTAATAAATCTTTGTATTTGGTTTTTGTAATCCCTTATAACTATGAAGGAACTTCAAAAGTTCATGGAAAATAGAATTAAAAGACAGATTTATTTGGTACAAGGAATTCTTTAAATCCTTGCTTACTTTTTTTATAATGTTCATTTTCACGAATTTTTGAAGACCCCTTGTATGCGTGGATTTCAGAATTCATCTGCACTAAAACAAACTTTAAATTTGAGTTTTCTGTGGACCTTTTGAAGTACTCTATATTATCAGTTTTAATTACAAATCCCTACACTCTTTTATAGATAATTGTGGCATTCATTAAGCCAGGATATTAGGCAAAAATTTGCCCAAGTTTAAGAATCTCATGGAAAGCTAAATTTATTAAACCAAATGAAGAACTTTTTATTGAAAAGAATTTTGTCTTTCATTTTTATTAAATAGCCAATACTCCACATATCTTTTAAAAATGATTCTGTTATAAAAATGAAATTTATTTGAACTTTTTAGGAATAGCATTTGTTAAAACAGGCACACATACATATAACACAAAACTTTAGTGGAGATAACAAAATATGAAATGCAGTAAAACCTACTTAGATGTTTTGTCTTTACTGTGACACAGCTGTGCAAGTTACTTTACAGATACAGTCAATGTTTTCTTGATAACGTTGGCTTCTTGTGAAAAATAAAACACTATTTTATAATCACAACAAAGAATTAAGTTGATTATCCCATTATATACATAATGAGTGTGTTCATGAAAATACACTACATTGAAATTTAATTCAGTGAATATAGTCCAGATAGTTCTTAATATTATGGAGTTTTAAAAGGGAATTTAATTTACTTTTATAATTTCCAAGATAATTTTTGGATCTAACATTGAAATATTTCCTCTAATTACTCTTTACTCATTTCAGAGGAAATGGATGTAGAAGCTCGACTTACTGAACTATGTGAAGAAGTAAAGGTACTTGGATTTTTGAAATTCACATTATTAACTTATTTGAGTGACTGTTTCCTATTCTAAATATTTTGTCTAAAGATAGAATTTTAAGTAATTGTTTATCTTTCCCAAAATACAAATATGAAGTGGTCAACTATGGTAGAACCACACCCTAGTTGGTTAAATGCATTTGACTTTACCATGAAGTTAACTTATCTTTTTAAAACTGTATTATTATTATTATAAATGATATAACAAAGATATCAACCAACCAAAAGTGTATATTTCTTGTATATTTCTTCTACTTCAGTCGAACATTTTCTGGACAGATTTTTAAAATGCCACTTAAACGTGCATAATTTTATAAAATGTTATTGTTTAAAAATGAAAATTGTTTTATTTCAGCAAATTAATTTTTGTATCAGACTGTTTTTCCAGTTCATTTTTGCAATTACATGAGTAAATTTTTCTTTTCTTTTTTTGTCAAGAAATTAAATATTTTCATTATTTTAAATTCACTGTTTGCTTTTGGTCAACTATTAAGGGAAAAAATCAGCGATATAAATCAAATGAAAATATGTTTTTGATATGGAATGTATTTCTATTATAAATTTGAATGAGAACTAGACTTTTGATAAATGTATCTTCTTAAAAATTATACATGTGCAAGCTATATAAGAAATTTTGTTAACTATCGAGAAATTTTAACATAATTCAAAGAAGATAAATATTTTCTTTGAGAAATCACCAATGTTCTTATAATATTGTTGCTCCAAAGAATAGTAAATGCTTAAAAATAATGTTACAATGTATCTAATTAATATGAAAAATCTAGTGATTCACTGAATTTAAATAAAACTTGAGTAAAGATGATATGCCAGCATAGACAATCACCAAAAAGTATGTTTTTTAACTGTATCATATTAATAAGTCTAAATCGAAATCCCAGTGAGAATTTTACGTTTATTTTTGAAATCATTATAAAAAACATAAGGATAGTTAAGAGAAAACCTTTAAATAAATAATAACATAAATGTATAAGAACTCACCCAAGTGGACACTAAAGTATTTATAAGACTATAATAATAGAAATAAGGTAAGGGGCTGGTGCTATGGCGCCAGCATCGCGTATGGTCACAAGTTCTAGTCCCAGCTGCCCCACTTCCAATGCAGCTCCTAGCTAATGCACCTGAGAAAGCAGTGGAAGATGGCCCAAGTGCTTGGGCCCCTGCACCCACGTGGGAGACCCAGAAGAAGCTCTTAACTCCTGTCTTTGGATTAGCCCAGTTCCCACTGTCATGACCATTTGGGAAGTGAACCAGCAGATGGAAGATCTCTCTGTCTCTTCCTCTCTCTTTCTCTATACCTCTGCCTTTCAAATTAATAAATCAATCTTTAAATGATTGAATTATTTTTAAAAAGGTAGATTTTTTTTCTACTCTAAGAAAATTTAAAGACAAATGGAACTAAATATCTTGAAAATAGTCATCAGTATATTTAATAATTGAGTTTATAATAAAATGTCAAGAATATTGGAGTTTATAAATGGTGTGGTAGGTGCCGGCATAGAGTAGCAAGTAAAGCCACCACCAGCGATGCTGGGATCCCATGGGATCCCATATGGGTGCCAGTGCGTGTCCTGGCTTTTCTACTTCTGATTCAGCTCCCCGCTAATAGCTTGGGAAAAGCAGCAGAAGATGGCCCAAGTGTTTAGACCCCTAACCCCCATGTGGGTGACCTGGATGAAGCTTCTGGCTCCTAGTGTTGCAGTCAGTTAGGGAGTAAACCAGCAGATGGAAGATCTCTCTCTTTCTGTCTCCCTTTGTCTCTGTAACTCAGACTTTAAGTAAATAAATAAATCTTGGAAAAAAAGGAAAGAAATAGCATGGTAAACTTAGCTCTGCTTTCCAAGCTACAGAAGCAGTTCTAAATGAACTAAGGAGTTAAATGTCCAAAAATACTAGGAGGAAATTAGCTTCATATGTGTGTAAATATAAGCAATCTTATCTTGGAATATGGAATACTTTCTTCAGACTAAAGTAAAGAACAAAAAAAAGAAAAAAAGATATTGATGATTTGAAATGTCTTTATAACAAAATGCACCATAAATAAAGTTGAAAGTAAGGAATAAATAAGAGAATCTTTGCTGTATCAAAAACAAATGATTAATGCTCACAACATTAAGGAGCTGCCATCTATCCATTTCAAAACATTACCTTTTGTGAGGAAGCAATATATAGAAGCAATGTACAAATAAGCAGTTCTTAGCAGATACTTGCTCTTACTGAAAACCAAAATGCAGATTTAAATAGTAAAGTGGGTTTTTTGCTCATGAAATTTGTAAAAAAACAAAGTGACTACTATTCTCTATTGTTCGTGGTGTAGGGAACCTAGTATTTGCATACATTATTGGTGACAGTTTAAGTCAGTATAATTTTTTTTCAATTTATCAATCTGTTTTAAAAGCATTTATTAAATGCACATTACCTTCCACACAGCAGCTTTTATTTAATATTCTATTTTTAAAAAATACTCATGTGTGTGAAAAAATGAATGCAAAAATTTATTTTATTTATTTTTTTATTTTTTTAACTTTTATTTAATAAATATAAATTTCCAGAATACACCTTTTGGATTATAGCGGCTTTTCCCCCCCATAACCTCCCTCCCACCTGCAACCATCCCATCTCCCACTCCCTCTCCCATCCTATTCACATCAAGATTCATTTTCAATTATCTTTATATACAGAAGATCAATTTAGTATATATTAAATAAAGATTTCAACAGTTTGCACCCATACAGACACACAAAGTATAAAGTACTGTTTGAGTACTAGTTATACCGTTATTCACATTGTACAACACATTGAGGACAGAGATCCTGCATGGGGAGTAAGTGCACAGTGACTCCTGTTGTTGAGTTAACAATTGACACTCTTATTTATGACATCAGGAATCACCAGAGGCTCTTGTCATGAGTTGCCTAGGCTATGGAAGCCTCTTGAGTTTGCCAGCTCCGATCTTATTTAGACAAGGCCATAGTCAAAGTGGAAGTTCTCTCCTCCCTTCAGAGAAAGGTGCCTCCTTTGATGGCCTGTTCTTTCCACTGGAATCTCACTTACAGAGATCTTTCATTTAGGTTTTGTTTTTGTTTTTGTTTTGCCAGAGTGTCTTGGCTTTCCATGCCTGAAATACTCTCGTGGGCTTATTAGCCAGATCTGAATGCCTTAAGGGCTGATTCTGAGGCCAGAGTGTTATTTAGGACATCTTTAATGCAAAAATTTCAACATTAATTATTATAAATGCATTTAAGAGAAATATATTTAAAAGAATCAAGTGAATCTCTCTGTTTCACCATGGATCATTTAATTCCAGAAGTATTTGTTGGTCAGGTACTGGTTTTATGGTGAAAGTCTTCAGGACATATTAATAGGGAATCAAAAGTGAATAAAATTATGAACAAATATTTCATATATGCAAAAAAATCCCAAAAAGCTATGTGTGAAATTGATTATATAATTACATATGAAATATTCGAAGATATAGTTCAAGCTCTTAAGAGTAATACAGAAGGGGGGGGCCAGCACCATGGCTTACTTGGTTAATCCTCCGCCTGTGGCGCCGGCATCCCATATGAGCACCAGGTTCTAGTCCCAGTTGCTCCTCTTCCAGTCCAGCTCTCTGCTGTGGTCTGGGAAGGCAGTGGAGGATGGCCCAAGTGCTTGGGCCCTGCACCCGCATGGGAGACCAGGAGGAAGCACCTGGCTCCTGACTTCAGATCAGTGCTTCAGATCAGTGCAGTGCCGGCCGAAGCGGCCTTTTGGGGAGTGAACCACCGGAAGGAAGACCTTTCTCTCTGTCTCTCACTGTCCATAACCTGTCAAATAAATAAAATAAATAAATAAATACAGAAGGGACCAGAATTGGGATGCAGCAGGTAAATATGCTGCCTGTGATGCTGGCATCCCAAATGGGCACTGACCTTTTCTAGGTCCAGCTGCTGCACTTTGAATTCCTCTCCCTGCTGATGTGCTTGGTAAACCAGTGGAAATTTGGGCCTCTGCACCTATGTGGGAAGCTTGGAAGAAGCTCCTGGCTCCTGGCTTCAGCTTGGCCCAGCCCTGGTCGTTGTAGCTATTTGAGGAGTCAACCAGTGGATGGAAGACCTCTCTGTCTCTCATTCTCACTGTAACTGTGCCTTTAAAATAAAAAAAATAATTTTTTAAAATACAAGAGTAATACAGAAAAGAATGGCATGAAGGATGAAGATTCTGAAGAGAATTTATATTATATACATCTTTACTAAATCTTTTATATATATTGCTGATAATTTTTTAAGTACACATTTAAATTTTAGTATGTGTGTGACACTATATGCATCAACAAAGTAAAGTGACAGTAAAGAACTCTTAATAAAAACATGTAATTGCTAGTTTCATATTAGCATAGAATTGATAAAAAATGGTATAATGACAATATTTAAAGAGCTCTTACCAAACATGTAATAATCGTTTTTCGTGTTAGCATAGCATCGACTTCCAATTACAAGAAAGACTAAGTAATAAATCAAAAATATTCAGTCTTATTATCAAAGAAACAGTGTATTCCAGGACCGTTTTAGCCTACTATTGGCTGAGGATTTTTACAGATACTCATACTTTGTAGTCCTTTCCAGAGATTAGTTTGGCAGGATATCTCTAAAGCCCAAGAATATCTCTTCTCAGTATGTAGCAAACAAATAATATACCAAAGAAGTAATCAGAGATTCATATGTGTCGCTCCCCCTCCTGCGGAGGAACAACACCAGACCCTGCGCTGTTCCTTTTGCCCGGCCCTTCCCGGGTTAGCTGCCGGTCCCCCGCTCCCTGCGGAGGGGCGGCACCCCTGCCGCTTTTCCTGCTTCCACGGAGGAGCAGCACACCGCCAGCCGGCTCTCAGGGGTTCCTCAGATGTTTCCCTCAGATGTTCCTGGTGCATGTTGTTTCTCTCCTCCTTTATAGTCCTTTTCCACCAATCCATGCTCTGCTGCCCACACGCCGAGCACGCTGCTCTCCTCCAATCCGGAGCAGGATCAGCTCCTGCAGCTTATCAGTCAAATTGGCGAGGCAGCTGCGTAGAAGTTGTTTACTCCTCCCCAGCGCCATATTGTGGGAGATCAGATGCATAGAATTAGTCCTAGCAGTTCCAATAAATTAGTCTAGTCTCAGTTGCTCCCCACACATATGGAAAGTTATGATTCTGAGAATGGTAACTTAGATATCTAATGTATGGTTAAACAAATTTTGAGACATTTATAATCTAACAAATCTAGACTACCTCAAAAATGGTATTCTCAAAAAATGTTTGATGCTGTAGTAAGTGAAAATAGCTTAAAACTGTATGATTTAAGGTTGAAAAAATGGAACTGTATATACTAAAATGAACTTTTGAAGTTTGTATAAGCTGGGGGAGTAATTTATATTTTTTTAAGATTTATTTATTTATTTGAAAATCAGAGTTACACACAAAGAGGAGAGGCAGAGAGAAAGAGAGGGCTTCAGTCCACTGGTTCACTTCTCATTTGGCCATGACAGCCGGAGCTGTGCTGATCCAAAGCCAGGAACCAGGAGCTTCCTCTGGGTCTCCCACGTGGGTGCAGGGGCCCAAGCACTTGGGCCATCTTCTGCTGCTTTCCCAGGCCATAGCAGAGAGCTGGATAGGAAGTGGAGCAGCTGGGACACGAACTGGTGCCCATATGGGATGCCAGCACTGCAGGAGGCGGCTTTATCTGCTACGCCACAGCACCAGCCCCAATTATTTATACTTGAAGAGACTGACAAAGTGTATACTTCATTCAGCTTACGGTAAGGCCAAAAGAATTATTTCTACTTTTGTGTTCACTACACTAAGTATATTGCTTGCATTACACTATACTATTTAATTACTCTCAAATGTTCCTCTAGCTCTTCTTTGTCTACACTACAGTAAAAACATGATTGGGGGCTGGCACAGCAGGTTAAGCTGACACATGTGATGCCATTATCCCATATGAGCAGTGGTTTGTGTCCTAGCTGCTCCACTTCTGATCCAGTTCCTTAGGAGTAACAGGACCCTGGCTTCAGTCTGGCCCAGTCCCAACCATTGCAGCCATTTGGGGAGTGAACCAGCAGATGGAAAATCTCTTCCTGTCTCTCCCTCTCTCTACCTCTGCCTTTCAAATACATAAAAATAAATCTTTTAAAAATAAAAACATCTGTGGAACAGTAACACTGCAGCTGTCAGCTTATTTTAGCATACATTGTAATCTCTATATGTGTTTTAAGAGAAACATGAAAAACTTTTTACTTTAGACTGTTCCTTGAGGTAAAATACATCTTCACCCTGTTAGCATCCATTACAGAATTCTAGACCTTGTAAGCATTTTCCGAGTTTTTCATAAATTCTGGGAGCTTTTTTCTTAGTTTGAGTCTGTAATTCCACAATCATTCATTTATTCACTCAGTAAATATTGAGTAACTACTGTATACCAGAAACCATAGTCACAAAAGTGAATAGTTCGTGATTATAATCCCTACCCTTCTTGATAATTTTGCTGATTTTTTATTTATGTTTTCTGAGTAAGATAAATAAATGGAAGCTTGATTTGGGTTAGGGAAGAAAAGCATGTGTGGTTGTAGGCTTTAAAAAAAGCAAAAATTGGGGTAGGCATTTGGCCTAGTGATGAGATACATGTTCCATATATGACTACCTGGACTCAATATTGAGCTCTGGATCCTGACTCCTGCCTTCAACATAGATCCTGGGAGGCAACAAATTTGGCTCAGGTTGGATTCCTGCCATATGTGTGGGAGATCTTGATTGAATTCTAACTTCCGGTTTAGTCATGGATGTTTAGGGAATGAACTAAAAATCTGAGAGTGACATTTGTGATAAGCAGCATTTAGGGATGTATACTTGTATGTATTTTTAAAATGCCCTATATATCCCAAAATATATTTAATATGTTATCAAAATTTTCTTAAATGCAAAATCTATGGAGAGTGGAGCTATAATTAGTTCAGGTGTAGGTAATGAATCTGGAGCGCAGGAGAAAAATTGATTCAGCAGTCATTGGTTGATATATAGGTGGTAATTAAAACTAAAGGAGTGGCTTTCAACTTTAACTTGCATAGGCTACTTCTGCTTTCTAGTAGAGAAATGAAGTCAGCATCCATCCATATATGAGAGACATCAAAAAGTTCTTGGTAAAAGGAAATTAAAAGATTAAAAATTTAAACTTTTTTTCAACATAAGCTCCATCGAATTATTTAGTATATATTCTTAATGAACTAAGGGTCCTGTAAATTTAACCCTGTCAATGCAGTTGATCTTCTGTATATATAAAGATAATTAAAAATGAATCTTAATGAAGAATGGGATGGGAAAGGGAGTAGGAGATAGGATGGTTTGCGGGTAGGAGGGTGGGTATGTAGGGAAGACCACTGTAATCCAAAAGTTGTAATAAGGAAATTTATGTTTATTAAATAAAATCTTTCTATTAAAAATACTATGAATTAACAAAAGATGGTGCCCTCTGGAGTTTTTCGTTTGCTTGTTTTTGTTTTGTTAAGGCTTGAGCTAACTTTCCAAAAACACTCTGCTAATAAGCAAACATTATTGTTCTTTTGCCCTCCATAAAGTCAGCAGGCAAAATGCCTTCAGCAACCCAAAAACTATTGCCATGACCTTTGCTCTTGACTGGTCTACTTTTTCTGTAACTCGATCACTTCCCTCTGGGTACCTGTTGCTTTGATTGTGCTTTGTCTTCAAGATCATCCTGCTAAAGCCATGTTGTCATCTGTTTAAAAATTCCTTGAAGAAATGCTTTAGGACCTTGATCCACCTGTGTAAAATTTCCACTGAACGCTCTGCTCTTGTCTGCAGCTGTTCTGGGCACAACAGTTTCAGCATCAGTCAAGCAGAAAGTTTGCTCAGCTTCAATTTTCTGTCAGAATGTGTAAGCTGAACTAATTGAGAAGTCTGTGGTGTTGGTTATATTTTCTGCTGCTAATCCTTGATCTGCTTTATTTAGAGCATGGACAATGATAATTTTTTTGGTCACAAATTGATGTGGATAGCCTGACATTTCAGGCTTCGTCTTCATCACTGTCTCATGCTTTTCAAAATGTGTTAAACTGCTGGTTTCTTTAGGAGATTTTCCCCATGAACTTTGAGATCAAAGATTTCACCATTGTTCTCCTCACAATTTTGAAGTTTGTTCTTGCCTTAATTTTAGTAGAATTCATGTTGCTCTGTTAGTTTGCTTTGCAAACTGATATCCTGTGTTTTTTTAGTGCCTCAAACTAGATCTTGTACAGACATGTTGTGACAAGTTAGTCCAAGTTTATTTTGGTGCAGAAAGAATTTGAAATGCATGCATAGTGTTTGTGTAAAGTGCATTTCCATGAACTTTTAAGGACCCCCTTTATTTAAGCTAGATTTACCAGTGTTTCCAGTAATTAAAATACTAATATTTGCAACACGATATTATCTGCCTGAAAATTGGCTGTACCTGCAATGAATTAATGAAAATCATATCCTCATAAAAGTAACACTTGCCCCCTAAAGAAGCATTCAATATATAGTTTTTTACTTTAGTAAGAGAAATAATTACTCCACTATTAGGATAATTTATTCCACTATTAGATACTCATAATAGGATAATTTATTCCATTAGGATACTCATAATATTTTATATCAGTTTGTTTATGGCTTTTCTTTCCTCACTAGACTATGAATTTCTTATAGTAATCTTTGCATCTCTAGAATATAGGCCCTAGCATTTAAGATATACTCAATAGTAAATGTTGTTAGAAAAGAGAAAGAGGCCGGTGCCACAGCTCACTAGGCTAATCCTCCGCCTTGCGGCGCCGGCACACCGGGTTCTAGTCCCGGTTGGGGCGCCGGATTCTGTCCCGGTTGCCCCTCTTCCAGGCCAGCTCTCTGCTGTGGCCAGGGAGTGCAGTGGAGGATGGCCCAGGTCCTTGGGCCCTGCACCCCATGGGAGACCAGGAAAAGCACCTGGCTCCTGGCTCCTGCCATCGGATCAGCGCGGTGCGCCGGCCGCAGCGCGCCGGCTGTGGCGGCCATTGGAGGGTGAACCAACGGCAAAAGGAAGACCTTTCTCTCTGTCTCTCTCTCTCACTGTCTACTCTGCCTGTCAAAAAATAAAAAAAAATAATAAAAAAAAATAATAAAGAAAAGAGAAAGAAAGTGTTGAATGATTCTGTAAAAGTTTTACCCAAAAGTGAAGAAAGAACATAGAGGCTAAGAACCTGTAATGTTAACATCCCAAAAGGATGTTGGATTGAATGCTAGCTGCTCCACTTCCAGACCAGCTCCCTGCTACTGTGACTAGGAAAGCAGCCAAAGGTGTCCCAAGTACTTGAACCCCTGCCATTCATGCTTCAGCCTGGCCCAGCCCCAGCTGCAACAACCATCTTGGGTGTGAACCAGCACATGGAAAATGTCTCTTCGCTTTTCTTTGCAACGCTACCTTTCAAATAAATATAAATCTTCATTTAAAAGAAAAAGTATCTCAACTTTTCTAAGAAGTGTAAGTCTTTTAGGTGCTTTACTTAGCTGATAAAGAAAATAATACTTGAAGATTGTATTATCTTTCAGAAAAATTGTTTAGTTGCATCATGATTTGTATATTGTATTTAAAGTTACCATTACTTTAGAATTGGAAGTTCAAACCTTGATTTGTATTTTATATTATTAGTGTCATAAAATATCTCAGATATTGAAATACTGGTTTAAGTTGTTGAAAATTGCTTCATGAATGATGAGGCAGAAAAGTTGGTTTTTCTCTGCACATATGTATACACCACACAAACACACACTTTTTTTTAACCATAAATTGTCTTTATGTAATATTCTTGATAACAAACTATGTGTAGTTATGTTAAGTTTCCCGAAGCAGTGAAGTTATTTTTTTCTTGTCATTTCAGAAAATAGAAAATCCTGATGAGCTGGCAGAACTTATAAACATGAATCTTGCGCAACTTTGTTCACTTCTAATGGCTTTATGGGGACAGTTTCTGGAAGTTATAACACTACATGAAGAACTAAGAATATTATTAGCACAAGAACACCATACCTTGAGGGTAAGTTAAAGAAATATGGTAGACAGCCGGTGCCGCAGCTCATTTGGCTAATCCTCCACCTGTGGCGCCGGCACCTGGGTTCTAGTCCCGGTTGGGGCGCCGGATTCTGTCCCGGTTGCTCCTCTTCCAGTCCAGCTCTCTGCTGTGGCCCGGGAAGGCAGTGGTGGATGGCCCAAGTGCTTGGGCCCTGCACCTGCATGGGAGACCAGGAGGAGGCACCTGGCTCCTGGCTTTGGATCGGCGCAGCTTGCCACCCGCAGCACGCCAGCCGTAGCAGCCATTTGGGGGGTGAACCAACGGAAAAAGGAAGACCTTTCTCTCTGTCTCTCTCTCTCACTGTCTAACTCTGCCTGTCAAAAAAAAGAAATATGGTAGAACATTTTAAGTATTATTTATTTTTAGAAATTTCTTATTAATAAAAAGCCTTATTTGTACGTATGTGTTGATAAATCAGAAAAGACACATATATCATTGTGTTATTGTTTAATTTCCAAAGATAATCATAGAGCAATATAGTTGAGAGCATGACCTATCTCAATTACAACTCCTGCTAGTATAATAAGCCACCCATTCATAAAAATATAGGAGATAGTGTAGCTCCCAGAACCCAAGAACAGGGATTGTACTCAGGATCTATCAGGTATTGGAACCAGGAACTAAGAACCTTTCTCTTTCCCCTTTTCCTCCCTTTCCCTTCCCTCCTTTCTCCTCTCCTCATACAGGAATGTGTATTACAGACTCGTGTTTACTGGAGGCCTAGTATGGATGAAATCTTTATACAGTTTTATAGTGTAACGTCCTCAAGAGACTTTGACATGTTATATATTTGACTTACCTTTTCGGTCTCATTTCCTTATATACCCTGCATATACATTAATTTTCTTTCACCCACTAGGAATTACTCCAAATATGATGTTTATTCTTTCTTAATTATAAAATATAACATGACCAAAATCATAAAAGTGCATTGCACTGCATATTTTATCAAATAATTAAAAGCATTATACCCTTGCAGTTATTACCTAGATCAAGGAATCGGACACTGTCAACACGTAGCTTTTCCAATTAGTATCCTTTCCTGATAAATATAAGTAATCACCATCCCTTCTTTTTTGTGATGCATACTAGATAATACAGATTATTTCCACCTGTTAATGAATTCTACATAAAATGAAATCATAACGTTTGTATTCTTTTGTATCTTTGTTTTTTCACTCAAGGCTTTGTGAGATTAATCCATGTTTTTGTTGGTAGCTATAGATCTTTTTCATGACTGTGATATATTCCATTTGCATACACCATAATTTATTTATTCAGTCTACTCTTGACGGACATTTGGATTAAGATTTATTTATTTGAAAGGCAGAGCTACAGGGAGGGTGGGGGGAAACACATAGCCTGGATAAAGCAGCGGAGGATGGTCCAGGTGTTTGGGCCCCTGCTACCCACAATGAAGACCTGGAAGAAGCTCCTGGCTCCAGGCTTAGGCCTGTCCCAACCCTGGCCTTTGTGGCCATCTGGGGAGTGAACTAGTGTATAGGAGACTCTGTGTCTCTCTCTTATCTGAAACTCAGACTTTCAAATAAATAAAATTTCAAAAAAGAAAATGGGCAAAGAAGGGAGCCCAAGACAAAAATCAGGTTTGCAGAAAATTAAACTGCCAGCATTTTACCTGGAGCTTCTCTTTTCTCACCCCATTGCAGATACCAAGGTAGAGCCCATTTTAAATCCTAAAGGAATCCAAGAGGAGTAATTAAGAAGCAGAGAAAGTGCTCTAATTTTACTTAAACAGGAATAAGTCTTGCCCTTCCCTGCGGTGTATCACAAATAATGGAAATGGTAGTATATTATGTCCTCTGGCTCCCTTTTAAACAGTTTAATAGGAACTTTGCTCATCAAGTATCTTGCAGTTCTAAGAGTATGGTGCAAGACTTAAAGTAACCAAAGCAGTCCATAGGTCATTCAACATTCATATAGGAACAGGCTTGACCTTAATAAAGTGTATAGGTTGTCTGATACTTCTGATACTGTATTCAGAAGTGGTACAATTAAGTCTCATAAGTGAACTTCTGATATGAAATCTTTTCCTCGTTGATGTGAAAGCAAGTAATGAAGTAGATAATTGGACTAAAAACAAGACATGTAAATCTGTACTCGAAAAGAATACTTTAATATTGGTTCAACCATATTATTTGATACTGAGATTCTGAAAGTGATGGTTTTCCAATTTTTGGCAAATTAAGTCATCTAAAATTGTTCAACTCTGTAATTACATGCCATCATACTACAGCATATAAGCTTGAGTATTAATGTTTCCTAGTGTCTCAAACTAATTAAAAAGATAATAGATATTTGTGGTAAACTGAAAGAGGTCTTTGTCATTTCAAACTGCAAAATGAAATGGTCAAGTGAGATGACTTTTATAAAAAGCAAAAAATTCTGAAATTATACTGAATATTATGTGTATCAAGAACTATAAAGAGAGGCTGGCACTGTGGCTCAGCAGGTTAAAGCCCTGGCCTGCAATGCCAGCGTCCCATATGGGTGTGGGTTCAAGTCCTAGCTGTTCCACTTCCGATCCAGCTCCCTGCTAATGTGCCTGTGAAAGCAACAGAGGATGGCTCAAGTCCTTGGGCCCCTGCATCCACATGAGAGGCTCAGAAGAAGCTCCTGGCTCCTGGGTGCGGCCTGGCCCAGCCCCACTCATTGCAGCCATTTTGGGAGTGAACCAGCAGATGGAAGACCTCTCTCTGTCTCTACCTCTCTCTCTAACTCTGCCTTTCAAATAAGTAAATATTAAAAAAAAAAAAAAAGAGAGAGAGAGAGCTACAAAGAATCAGGTTTCATCCTACATACAATTACCCATACCTTAGTCTACCATTGCTTGATTCATGGTTACTAGCAGAAGATCTGAGAGCTGTGGGTCACTAATAACAGTAGCCAGAGTATTATTTGTGCTGGTTCATTGGTCCTCAGTTTCCACATCCAAACATAAAGAACATCAGGTTCACATCAGTGAGTTATTGTACAGAGGAAAAACTCAGTGCTTAGAGATTGCACATGTTTTATAATAGACGGGAAACATATTTGCTCCTTGCTCCAAGGGATCTGTACCTATAGTACTGAAAATGAACTGTCCTTTGCTCCAAAGGGAGACATAGTTATCTTTCCAGGTTCTTCCCAGTACAGGCATTCTTAAAAAGATAGTCTGTAACAAAGACAATCAGTGCTTCTGCTCACAATACGAAAAATGCAGGAGAATTGCTCCCAATAGTAAGTCTTTAATTTTTTTTTAATTTTATTTATTTGAAAGGAATAGTTAGAGGGAATGACAGAGATATCTACCATCTGCTGCTTTTCCCCTAAATGGCTGGGCCAGTCCAAAGCCAGGAGCCTGGAGCCCCATCTGGGTCTCCCACATGGGTGGCGGGGACCCAGGTACACAGCCATCTTCCTCTGCCTTCGAGTACATATCAGCAGGGATTTGGATTGGAAGTAGAACAGCCAGGGCTTGAACTGGCCTCATATGGGATGCTGATGTTGAGGGCAACCACTTAAGCTGCTGTGTCATAATGCCAGCCCCCTCAATAGTAAGTCTCATAGAGAATTTACTTTGATTGAAGTTTGTTCCCTCAACAATTTTCCTGATCTTTGTTGCTGGTGCTTTAGAAGCACTAGTAACACTTGTGTGTTAAAAGCTTTCCAATTATAGCATCAGAGATGCAGTATATAATGTTGATTATAACTTAAGCTGGAGTTATATTGTATGAGTCTATTACTGAGGTGATCAGTGTATTCAGTTGTGGACTTAGAGAGCTAGACTGGTTTTTGCTAGCATTTACAGACTTGTATCCTGCTCTGAACAAGCTCTTTTTAGGGCTAGTGGAGTCAAAATAACAGTTGATTTAGCAAACTTTTTGAAGAAATATTTATTGCCATCTTTTATAAATCTTTAGTTCTGTCATGCCAGATGTTCATAAATAATGATGCCCAGGCCAAATACATAGGGTTGCCAGATAAATATAGAATTCCCAGTTAAATTTGGATTTCAAATGAACAGTAAATATTATTTCATTATAAGTATTTTTCAATACAGCTCTATCAAATAGCCTATTAAAGCATCAAAAAAAGATTTAACTGAACTTTATATATTTCTATATAAATGAAGTATGCCTTAAGGAGGTGCAGAAAACAGAATCTTTGGTCAAAAAGAAAACTAATTTTGTGCTTATTATCCTTCTGTTGAAGCAGAATGTGTGGTAAACACATGCCTTTACTTCATATGCATTATTATTTGTGTTCTAGAGCAAAGAGATCCTAATTGAAGTGGTGACTCTTCTGTTCAGTTATTTAATATTCTGTGATATTGCTCCTTTAAACTCTTCACATTACTATACCTTTCTTTGGACTATATGATGAAAATCTTTTGCTTTGTAAGCCTTCATACAATATGTACAATCATCAGAATGAGAGTTTAGCAAAACCTTTCCTTGGGCATTCTATCCTCATTATATGCCATTTTGTTACCTCTGTTTTTTTTTTCATAGCTGTGCCAATCATTTGTCCCATAAGCTTATTTTCTTCTTTTTCTTTGGCTAACTTCTCTCTCGCTTTATGATTGCCTATTTAGTACATAGCAAAAAGCTGTAACACTTTGTTGAAATTATAGTTATCCTTCTAGGAGGATTGACTGTAAACCTTAGAATTCATCCACAGATTAGAAGGAAAGAAATGTGTTTCTTTTAGTGGTTGGATGGGAAACATTTTGGGTTTGCTTTTTCTTAAGCCGTAGAATGTTCATGCAAAGACCATGATAATTTTTTCTGTAATTTTACCTCGAAAAAATGATGTATGTAGTAATTATTATCTACCAGGTAATAATTGCTTAACAAATATTAACCACATTAATCACCAGAATAATCCAATGTAGTAAATATGTATCATTCCTATTTTACAGAAGGATCATTGAGGTAGGTCAGGAAGGTAAAATAATATGGCCA